GTTTTTGTTTGCTACATGGATCATTTTAGTTCAGCTGGGTGTCTTTCCTTTTGTTATATTTCTTTAAGAGTTCAAAATGTGTTAATTACACATGGATTGTAGCACTTCATGGATTTCATAAGCAGCACAGCTTAGTTGTTCACACAAAGCACAAAGGTAAAAAACAATATATACAGTGTTATCTTCATTTTAGATGTCAAACAGTATTTGCGGCTCCCAGTGTTTTCTTGTGCGTGGAACCCGGGTCCAAATGGCTCTTTGGGTCTTAAAGGTTGCTGACCCCTGTGTTATGCAACAGCTAAGCATGTCTAAGCTGCATGAATGGCATTCAGCAGGCAAAGAAACACAATAGTAGTACCCTGACGAATCATCCCTGAATATCACCACAGCTGTTATTCTATCACTGTCAGTGTTAATCCAAACAAAACCTGAACCTGATTCATTATTAATCCAGCAGCGTCTCAACCCATGTCAGAGCTCCTTGTTTCATCATATTTCAACATTTCACATCAAACTGCTTTAATCCAGAGGCAAAGCAGGACCGGATTTAAGGCGGGGGTGCAGAAAATGTAAATTTCTTTTAAATGTTTTTACTAAAACTGAAACCGGGTGATTCTGAAAAAATCCTGTTGATGAGCTCTCCGGCCAGCTAGCAAGCCAACCATAGCAAAGGCATCTGATTGCAGTATGGACACACACCCACATACAGCATGCATCTATCAACCTGTGTGCATCCGTGCAACCATCGCTCCTTCAACAAGCTCTGTTTCATGCTTATTTGCAAAGCTTTAGCCCCTTAATCAGCCTGTAATGCATTTAGCAATGAGCAGACACAAGATGCAATAGCACAGAAGGCCCTTGGTGCCTTCCCTTAGTCACCACATCCCTTATCCCTGCATTTCGTTCCGTTGTACCTGTGACATGTGTAATGACAATAAAGTTGAATTCTATTCTATCAGTCTGGATTATCACACCCTCAATCTCTCTGAGAGAGAGCCAGGACATGAGGTGGAAAATTAACCAGAGTGAACTGTGTGTCCACTCAGCATTATCTGGGGAGACAAAAGGCAACGGGGGCTTGACTCGATCTCCAGCCACAACACTGATATCTGACAATCTCAGATACTCAAAGCTTGGTGGAAAATTGCACCTGGCCAGTGCTCCTTGCAAAACACATACCCACCTTAAGTCCCACCATGAGTATTTTGCATTTAAATATACTTGTTGCTATATGGAGATCACGGATTATTTTGTTTAAAGGCATATTTCACTCAGGCAAAGCTGAGTAAGATAGCAATTAGATTAGCACTGCAAATTGTTAGCAGGCTAAATATTTAAATTTAAAAATATTGCCACAGCAGAAATTAAAGTACTCTGTTTTACTGCAGTCCACCAGGACAAGTTATTCCTTTTCTGCAGTGCACATAGCATCAATTAGGCGGTCTTTGCTTGCACAGAGAGAGCCTCTGAGTCAAAGGTTAACGCCTACATTGGGTCTGGAAATGCCTGCCTTTGAAGTCTCTTTAGAGCGCTGGCGCTCCACATGGGGGCCTGGTGGAACAGTGGGGCTTCAGGAAGTAGCTTGCTGATTCTCGCGGGGTACTTTTTGGTGCCCCTCTGGCTCCGCACAGTTAGCAGAGATCTAAGGTGGATAAGCGGCAAAGTGTTAACCTACAGTACAGAGACGACTCATTAAAAATAAACTGCCTGTACGGGCGACGAGCTGCTCGCGAAGACGAAACGTGTGTACATCTAAAAGCTTCAGTGGGCAGAGGCTCAGTCATTGCTCAGATGTAAATAAAATCTGATGCCAGTGACAGTTTATTAATAATGAGCTGGATTTATAACTGCAGATGCGGCACAGTTAGTTAATTAAAGCACTTTATTTCAGTTGAGCAGTCCAGCTATTAGTTCTCCTGTTTAATGTCTCTCATTTATTTTCTATGACATATGTTCTTTATCTGTTCTTTTCTGTCATGTCTTAATTTATCACTCTCTGTCTCTCACTCTGTCTTTCCCTCTATTCTTTGCCTCGCTCCCCAACCTCACCGCTTTTCTGCGAGTATCACAACAGCGAGCACGGATCCAAAGCCTATTAAAATCCACGGCACGTCCAGGAACCAAGCAGGGCCAGCGGGAAAGAAACTACAGAAATTAATGAACATGCTTAACCTGCACTGGCCCCGGGCCCTGTTTTCTGTGCCTGTTTGTCTGTCTCTGCTGTGGAGCTACTGTTTACAACACGCTGCCTTCCTTTTAAAATTAAACGCATACCAAGAAGTGAGCGCTAATGGTGTCTTTTGTTGGGTTTTTTTTTCAAATATGAAACTTTGTAGGAAATTCAAAATTCAGCTGGTGCTCTTTTTGTTGTCAAATGCTGCCGGCGCTTTGTATATGTAATATATACGCCATGTTTTCATGGGAAGACTTTTCACATGCGTGTGGAATGTGATACAATTGACTCAAGGCAAGACCGGGAAGAAAAGTCTGCTACAAAGTGCTTTGAATAAAACAGTCTTTTTTTTTGAATATCTACAAAGGGGCTGGCAGCGTCAGAACATGGTGGGTGGTTGTATAACAAAGTAACAAAGACTTCTGTTGCCCTTTGAAGCAACGCGTTTCCCCAGCTCGACTGGTACAAGCAAATGGAGGGATGTGCTGATGAGAAGAAAAAAAAAGGAAGAAAGGTTAAGGAAACATGGGATAGAAGGCAGACACTGAGACAAGGATAAGTGGAAGTGGGGAGACTGACAGCCACAGCTCATTTACCAACAGCATGCTTGATAGCCTCCAGGGTTCAAAATGGATGCGCACTCCACAGGGCTCAGGGCCTCTGCTGAGCAACGGAGACAAGGAGCAAACGGAGTGAGGGCAGGAGGGAGTGACAGATGAATACACTCGGATCAAATTAAGGAGCTGGACTGTTCTGTACCAGGACTAGTCAGTGTGGGGAAAGCATACAAGACAGTCACACTTGCTGCTGTTCTGAATCCCATATTTTATCTGCTTTATAATAACAGCAATACATGTAAAACTGTTCACTTCTATCTATTTAAAAATTAAGCAAATCAAAAAGAGCTAAAAGAGACCATCAGTCTACTAACAAGCACTTGATGGTTAATTTCATCTTGTCATGTTTTGTCTATTTCGCTGCATGTGCATGTCTTGAAACAAGCTGCCACCCAGTCAGATTCGGTTTGTTTCGTGAACTGCTGATTTGCTCAGTCTAAGTGAAATAAGGTCACACAGGCTGTATAACAAGTCAGGGCAGTCCCTAACCCATTGATGCCATCTCTTGGACTGAAATAAGCTCTTGCAAACGCAATACCAAGGCTGCGTCTGGACATGTCAATAAAATACACATGCACATACAAGAATGTGCAAGAAAAACATAATGAATTTTAACACTGTGCAGAGCTATAGAGCCCTTGCATAACCAATTACACTGTTGCAATCGCTATACAGTGTTGTCTGAGTGTTTGATGGCCCACTGACTCGAGGTCAAAGGATTCTCGGCACAGATGTGAAAAACAGAGCTATTACCCAAAAGGAACAAAACACACTAAAGCTCTGCAGGTGCTGAGCCTGTCCCTGTAAGTGGCCCTCCAGTGACTCTCGGCTGGCAGGAAACACATACTGTTACGAGGGAAAATGGTTTGTGGAGAGCTCAGCTTGAACTTGGTTGAGAGTG